ATATATTTGCTTAAATATCTTAAAATTAATTTCATCAGTTTCTTTTTACATTTCTTGACTTGGTTAATTAGAAAAATTTTAGCCACATTTGTGGTTTGCTTTATATTTCTTTTAGATGGCACTGTTCTATTGATTTGCAATGGAGAGGAGAGGCAGATATGTAACTTACAAGGCTGGGGTAGGGTTGACATTACTAGCCAGCTAGGTGTGAAGGGAGAAGTGGTTGGGCAAGACTGTGAGGTTGGGGGTGGAGGGCAAATGCTTAGAAGAGCTCACATCCAAGTCAACAGCTGCAAGACAAATCCAAGGTAGCTCAGGGACCAGGGCACTCCAGGAAAGGACCCAGGATATAGAGAGACAGTGCAGAGAGCCCAGTGAACTTCAGATGCATTGTAAGTGGTGGGCATGAGGGTGCGTTAAGAGGTGAAGAAAAGCAATAAAGCCAGAAAAGGCAACAGTTACCAGCTCCAGAAACATGTAGTCCAGAGGTGTTCAGCAGAATTATGTGAGCCACACGCAAAGTTTTAAATTTTCTAGTTTCTAGCCATATTTTCAAAACTATAAAAAACTAATTTTAATCATTGTTATTTCAACACGTAATAAATGTCAACAATTCTTACTGAGATAGTTTGGATTTTTTATGATGATTAAGTCTGTGAAGTCTGGCGTGAATTTTTTTTTTTTTTTTTTTTTTTTTTTTTGAGACGGAGTCTCGCTCTGTTGCCCAGGCTGGAGTGCAGTGGCTGGATCTCAGCTCACCGCAAGCTCCGCCTCCCGGGTTCACACCATTCTCCTGCCTCAGCCTCCCCAGTAGCTGAGACTACAGGCGCCCGCCACCTTGGCGTGAATTTTACACTGACAGCACATGGCGATTTTTACTAGCCAAATTTCAAATGCTCACTTGCCACATAGACTAGTGGCTATAGTATTAGGCAATGCAGGTCTACTAGACGGTTCTTTTGAATACAGTGGGGAAGGGTTTTAAACAGAAGAGTACTTTAGGGGAAAAAAACACCTCTGACAGTCCCAATGGAGAAGACAAGTCTCCCACGTGCTACTGAGCTTTCTGGAGCCTATCAGCTCTATCTTCTGGGCACGGTCACCCATGCCAGGGTACTTCCACTTATAAATGGTAATTTGGGAGTAATGTCTCTTTTGCGCAGACTTTGCTTTGTCAAGGTGTTGAGAGCAGTGTGGGGTGTTGACAACAGAGGAAGGGGAAGCTGCCCTCTCAAATCCTCCATGGTTCTCACCACCTTTCAGATGGGCACCAGAGGCAAGAACCTTGGATTTTGTAATCATTGGGTTTTGCATCTGTGAAACTGTGGTGCTTAACTCAGCGTATCATCCGGTTTCTCCTCGTGAAACTGATGCAGACACTTCTAAGAGGCTTGGTGTGTGTGGATAAAAGGAAGCAACTTATGCAAAGGGCCTCATATGGTGACCTAAGAAAGAATTAATCAGGAACAGTATCATTTCTTTCCTTCAGCATTGTCATCAGAAAGGGTCTTTTCCATCTCCAAGAGCATAGAGGATAGAAATGCAAACAGCGTGACTAGGGGGTCAGGCTACTGAAATGGCCTCTTGGAAATACTGCTAATCCTTTATCCATCCTTTCCATAAGGGACTTCAAGGAGTCAGTTCATTTCAGAAGAAATATCCAAAAAGCATGCAGATTAGAGGCAGCCCTGCAGGGAGCTTTTTCTCCTGGCATCACAATAAGCTTTAACTGGTGAGAAAACAGCTTTTCAGTTTCTCTGGGCTCTGTCTTATTGGAGAGGCAGCTTAAAAGTTGTTCCTAGTCTCCAAGGAGTTTTCAGATGCTAATAACTTGCCAGAGTGAAAAATAACTGAATGCTGGGGAGCCATGACGTGAGACATTGCCTACCTCGTTCCTCTGCCTTTGAAAGTCAAATGAAGCAGTACAGACCGGGCAGAACTGGGAAAGAGCTTTGGGGTCTGGCAGCCCTGAGTGTCAACCACAATTCTGTCACAATTAACTATATAATCTTCGGATAAATTGCTTCTATTTTTGAGCATCAGGGTACATATCTGTAAAACGGGGATATGTGTTGAAAGGTAAGAATTATGTACGTAAGATAAGAGTATATTATCTATTATTGCATTTAATCTCCCCACCCCTACCCACCCCCAACAAACTTAGAGTCACTTATGGTCTCCCAGTTTCTGTGAGTGGGGAATCTGGGCACGGCTTAGTTGGTCCTTTGACTCTCACAAGGCTGTAATCAGGAAAGGGGTCCAGACCCCAAGACAAGGCCTTGGGTCTCACTCAGGAAAGAATTTAGGGCGAATTCACAGTGCAAAGCAAAAACAAATTTAAGTCAAGTGGTGAAACGATAGCTATGCCACAGAGTACGGCGTTCCAGAAAGTAAGAGGAACAACATGTTCACCCTGGGTACAATGCTTGTTTAAATGTAGGATAAAAAAGAGCATGGGCCGGGCGCGGTGACTCACGCCTGTAATCCCAGCACTTTGGGAGGCTGAGGCGGGTGGATCACAAGGTCCGGAGATCGAGACCAGCCTGGCTAACACAGTGAAACCCTGTCTCTACTAAAAATACAAAAAATTAGCCGGGCGTGGTAGCGGCGCCTGTAGTCCCAGCTACTCGAGAGGTTGAGGAGGGAGAATGGCGTGAACCCAGGAGGCGAAGCTTGAAGTGAGCTGAGTTCGTGGCACTGCACTCCAGCCTGGGCAACAGAGTGAGACTGCATCTCAAAAAAAAAAAAAAAAGAGCATGGGGGACATGTGCTCTGCTACAAGGGTTTGTGATAAAGGATTTTCTTAATTACTGTATTTTCCAAGAATCAATATTATTTTTTTCTTTTTTTTAGATAGTTTCGCTCTGTTGCCTAGGCTGCAGCACAGTGGTGCAATTTCAGGTCACTGCAACCTCTACCTCCCGGGTTCAAGCAATTCTGCCTCAGCCCCTCAAGTAGCTGGGATTACAGGCACCCACCACCACGCCCAGCTAATTTTTGTATTTTTAGTAGAGATGGGGTTTCCCCATGTTGGCCAGGCTGGTCTCGAACTCCTGACCTCAAGTGATTGGCCGGCCCTGGCCTCCCAAAGTGCTGGGATTACAAGCGTGAGTCACTGTGCCCGATTTTTTTTTTTTTTTTTTTTTTTTTTTTGAGACGGAGTCTCGCTCTGTCGCCCAGGCTGGAGTGCAGTGGCCAGATCTCAGCTCACTGCAAGCTCCGCCTCCCGGGTTTACACCATTCTCCTGCCTCAGCCTCCCGAGTAGCTGGGACTACAGGTGCCCGCCACCTCGCCCGGCTAGTTTTTTGTATTTTTTTAGTAGAGACGGGGTTTCACCGTGTTACCCTGGATGGTCTCGATCTCCTGACCTCGTGATCCGCCCGTCTCAGCCTCCCAAAGTGCTGGGATTACAGGCTTGAGCCACCGCGCCCGGCCGATATTATCTTTAAAGTAAAATTAGTAATGCTTCTGTTCTCAAGATATCAAGATATCGTTATCAGGACACTAAAGTTAACAAGTATCCATTTCTTCTACATGTTTTATCATATATCCATAGCCCTTTCTAGTTATTTTAGTATATGTGTGTTTTTATGGAGATAGAGATTAAAATATTTTAAATATGCATGTCAGTTCTCATTTAGCAATATTACAACATTTAATTCTGCTGTATAGTCTTTGTAATTAGCTGCATATATCTTTATATTCTTTAACAGTCACATATCATTTCCTTTCAGTAGATAAATGTGAGTCATTGTTTACTCAACCATCCCCTTAACTCTGGGACATATAAGTTGCTTCAATGTTTTGCCATAAAAAGCAATACTGTAATTGAGTATCTTTTGTATAATAAGTTTTTTTCCCCATAATTTAAATTATGTCTTTAGGATAAATTTTCAGAAAAGCAATTAGAATACAAACATTTTAATAGCTGTGTCAAGTTGTTATCCAAATGTGTAGAAGGCTTTGGTTTTCATACAAGCAAACACTGCTCTATCAATCAGCCACAGGGTGAGTTCCTCAGAGGCAGGCACTGTATCTTACTTTTTGTTTAACCATAGCACCTAGGCTAGAAGCAACATTTAATGAGTATTTTTGGACTGAATGAACACAAATTTTAAATGTTTGAGACTTCAGGAAAAATTTAGGCTAGATCTATTCTAAACAATTATTTTTCTTAATCAAGAGATGTGGCATTTCCACGCAGATTTCACTGAGATGTGGAGCATGGGCCTGTACCAAGCACCAAGCTCCATGATGCCCTTTCCGGATTTCATTTAACTCTCATGCCTTCCTCCCCGACCCCACCCCTCAACAGTTGGAATTCCACGTGGCAGCAGAATGAGAGGCTCAAAATGCAAATGGGATTCTGCCACAACCTTGCTGTTTCAGAGGGTCCCAGGAGACAGCTGTGGGCCTGGCAAGCCCCCAACATTTGAAAACAAACAGGAGGCCCTCTTTTCTGGGGAGAATACTATAATGCTGAGGGGAAACTCCACTTGGAGACAGCATTTCCTCCCAATAACCAGAATCGTGAGAATTTTTCTGAGTGCAGTTCAGCCTTGACTAATGGGTCAATTTAGCCCAACTGTGAGTCACAGTTAAATAACATTGAAGTAAGCAGGGCACAAATGACCTTCAGAAAATATCTTTATTGGTCAACATGTAATCTGACTAATGCACCCTGCCACCCTGCAGCATGTAACTCTGAGAACTCCAGAGAACCTTCCTCCCACCCTTTTAAGAAATGTTCATCGACTTATTTCAAGAGCTGTCACCCTCATTTTTTCGACCCAGAGGATGTTTGCACAAGATCGGTGTGTGTGAATGGCGCAACCAGAATGAAGTTGCACCCCAACGTCCAACATCACCCTCTTAGCCACTAAGCTTGAGCCGCAGCGCCCTCTGGTGGTCACTTGACAGTTTGAGTTTTCCAGGCCCCTTTTATAACTGGGCAACATCTCACCTAACCAGCACCTCTGTTTCTCGCCTTGTCTGGCAGGTGAAGGAGGCCATGCAGCGGATTCATGACCGAGGGAACATTGGCAAGTTAATTCTGGATGTAGAAAAGACCCCAACTCCACTGGTGAGTGAAAAGCAGGAGTCTGTTCAGTTCCACGTAAGAGAGCACCATGGGTCAATCAGGTGCAGACACAGGTGGGGTAGAAGGAAGTACAGGTAGCTTGTGGGCTAGTGGAGGAGACCAGGGGTAATCAAATGATTTCACACATGAGGGATTCATGACAAACTGAGATGAATGCTGAAAAGGAAAGGCCAGTGCTTCAGTGAGAGCATATCAAAAGCAATCTGAAAGGCATAGGCAGGAACGCATAGCAACAACAGACCTGTCTATTACAGCTGCTAGCTCTTGGGGGAAATACCTGGAAAATTTCAGTAATTTCACATTCATGTTCCTAACAGAATGATGCCAGCTCCTTCCGAGATGCTCCCTGATGGTTCCCCTGATTTTTTTTTCTTTCAGAGAGAGACAGAGAGAGTCTCAGTCTGTCACCTAGGCTGGAGTGCAATGGTGCGATCTCGGCTTACTGCAAGCTCCGCCTCCGGGTTCACACCATTCTCCCACCTCAGCCTCCCAAATATCTGGGACTACAGGCGCGTGCCACCACGCCCGGCTAATTTTTTTAGTAGAGACAGGGTTTCACTGTGTTGACCAGGATGGTATCGATCTCCTGACCTCATGATCCACCTGCCTCGGCCTCCCAAAGTGCTGGGATTACAGGCATGAGCCACCGCGCCCGGCCTGGAGTGTGTATTTTTGAAAGTATTTCCTTGACTTGTAACCATAATGTAATTTGGGTATGACGGTCATTTCATTCAAAGAAGGACAACTTCAACATTGTAGAATGCCCTCTTGTTAAGTGACTTATACAATAGGGATATAGCTTATTAAATACTTACTAAGTTCTAGGGCTGTTCAAAGCAGATGAGAGGGTAAGATTAGGGAGGGGAGGGAGTGACTTGGATCCTGAGTCTCCTGTACACCTGTTCGTAGTCTTCAAACATATGACCAAGCCTATTTCAGTCCCATTTGTAGAAGGCAGACAGGCTCTAGGGCCATCCTGGAAGCTTATTGCTTTCAAGCAAAATAGTTGGCACCAGTTTCCCACCCCGGGATGCTCCTGTGTCTATCACACATGAGTTGCTGCCAAGTCCTTAGGCTGATAGGAAGGTCTGTCTTATGGAGTAAGGATTCTTAGCACAGCAGAGGCAGAAAAACGCACCTTTCAGGGTAAAAGCACAAGATCTGCCTGTGCCACATACAATGTCATTGTCCTTGTTTCTGAACCTCCTGAAGGCTTCTTTTTTGAGATGGATTCTCTGTCATCCAGGCTTGAGGGCAATGGCACGATCTCGGTTCACTGCAACCTCCGCCTCCCAGGTTTAAGCGATCCTCCCACCTAAGCCTCCCAAGTAGCTGGAATTACAGGAGTAGCTGGAATTACAGGCACATGCCACCACACTTAGCTAATTTTTTTTTTTTTATTTTTAGGAGAGGCAGGGTTTCACCAAGTTGGCCAGGCTGGTCTCGGACCCCTAACCCCAAGTGACACACCTGCCTTGGCCTCCCAAAGAGCTGGGATTACAGGCATGAGACACCGTACCTGGCCCTCCTGAAGGCTTTTATCCCTGAGACCTAAAGAAACAAAAAGACAGTAGAGAGTGGGTATTCGGAGCAACCATGTGGTGGAAAAGAGGCCACGGCCTGTCTAGACGGAGAAGCAGACTTGAAGGAAAGGGAGCATGTTGTCAGGTTAAACAGAAGACATGGAGACGCAGGAGGGATCCAGTGAGGTCATTTTAGGGCTAGCACCTGACGGAAGAGGAAACAAGTCAAGCTCCAGGCCCCGCAGGACGGGTCGCCGTCTACTCGGCAGGTGTTGGAGGAGGGGGATGAGGCGCCTGCAGAGGTGCTTTCTCCTACTGGAATGACCACTTTTTGTTGTTGTTGTTGTTAAGACAGAGCCTCATTCTGTCACCCAGGCTGGAGTGCAGTGGTGTGATCTCGGCTCACTGCAACCTTCACCTCCCGGGTTCAAGTGATTCTCATGCCGCAGGCTCCAGAGTAGCTGGGATTACAGGTGCACACCACACCACGCCCGGCTAATTTTTGTATTTTTAGTAGAGACTGGGTTTCACCATGTTGGCCAGGTTGGTCTTGAAATCCCGACCTCAGGTGATCTGCCCGCCTCGGCCTCCCAAAGTGCTGGGGTTACAGGCATGAGCCACCGCGCCCAGCCATGACCACTGTCAGCCCTCACTCAGCCCCGAATCTGCCCAGCCAGCACGCTGCAGGAGATGCACTGCTCCTCTAGAATAGTCTGGGCTGTAAGGCATATCGGCAGCACCCAGGCAGGGGAAGTCGATTGCTCTTGGCAGCTCCGGAAGTGAATTTCCTGGGAAGCACTAAGAGTGGAGCCTCTCCTGCGCAGAGCCTCCTCTTGATGAGGCTGGACCAAAGCAAAAGTCAGAACTCATCCTATGATGTGTCATGAAGTCAGAGCAGAGGCAGAACTGCTGCCTCCAGACCCCATAGTACCAGAGGGCAGCCCTGCCCCAGTCCTGGCCATCAGACCAGTGCCCCAGAGAACAGGGGTGGCCTTTCCTGAAGGCAACTGACCTCTGCTGCCTTTACGGCTTCTGTGGTCACATCACCTCAGGGTCTCCCTTTCCACTGCTGCAGAACGGAACTAATAATAATTACTACTATTGCTACTATTTCATAGAGTCGTAGAGAAGATTAAAAGAACCAGTGTCTGTGAGCCAACTGGCATATTGGTGATGACTATGGATTATAATATACACTACTAAAGGACAGCTTAGTTGGTTAGTTCTTCATTATCCTAAAGCACTTGTTGCATACATACCTAGTTGTAGGGAAGAAAACTGCAGAGACCTGGTCCTCCCCTGTGGTATCTATGGTTCGGCAGGGGCGGATGGACATTCGTCAATGAGCCATTCATATAAATGGGACATTGCAACTCTTGATCAGTGCTACAAAGAAGAGGTATTTGGGCCATGAAAGCTCATAATATGGAGATTGTTCCAGTTAGGGAATTCTGCAAAGGCTTACCTTGAGGAAGTAGGATGAGCCCTAAAGGAAATGTAGGGATGAACTGTGCAGAGGGGGTGGAGGAATGACATTCCAGGGAGAAGGCACTGCACACGGCGTGGCCAAGGGGGGAAGCCCAGCTTCAGGTGAGACAACATGGGGTGGGCTGAGATTCAGGGGCCAAATTCCTGTTTGTCAGAATAGGCCGTGACGCAGCCAGGGACTCTAATTTGGGAGATTTGGGAGATCTGGGGTCCAACCTAGATATCAGGAGCTAAGAACAGAAAAGAAATCTGAGGCACACACAGCTCACATAGGGGGATGTTAATGGACATTGGTTCTGAGCCTCTCTCGTGTGCTCAGCCGTTTGCTAGACTCTTCAGATACATTGCTCCATCTTCTTTCACCTGGTTCTTGTAACAACTTTATAAGGTAGGTGGATTTATCGCCACTGTCATGATGGAGGAAATGAAGGCCCAGAGGGGTATTCATAACTATGCCAGGTACCAGTGGTTAACAAAAGAAAAAGAACCAAGCAAAATCCCCGTCTTCCCAGAAACTATATTCCAATGGGGGAACAGAGACCAAAAAGCAGATCAGTACACCTTTGTTCTGGTTGTTGTATCTGTTTTTCCTAAGTGACAGCATCAAGACTTCAACTGTGGGGGTCTGTGCAGCTGACGCTGTCAGTATCCCTCCCTTCTCCCCTTGGCGCTCGGGTCCCCTGCACTCCAGCACCTGCCCCTCTCTGCCTGAGAGCTAACTTTCGTCACCAGAGCATGCTTGACTTTTGCACAGAACCTGCATGGGGTGCAGGGAGATAACTCACCTCCCCTGAGAGCAGTCCCTAGCTATAAAGTGATTTCCTCCTCCCTCAGAAGGGGCAGCGCTAAGATGTGCCCCCCAGGGTCTCTCAGAGGTCCCCAGCAGGACTGAGTCCCAGTACCCACACAGGAGCTGACTTACTAACATCCCCTGCATTGGATTCTTCCCCTTTTCAGTCTCATTTCTTCACTCCCCTGCTAGTGCTTCGTGGGATCATCTCCCAATTCCGGATACTGGCATTCAAATCCTTATCTCAGCACCATCTCTTGGGGTCCCCAACATATGACAGCTAATCCTGCACTGCCTTCCAGGGAAACAAGCAACCGTAGCTCCTAGCCCCCAAGTCCTCCCATGGGACTGTGTCAGATGCTCAGAGATGATGGATCCGGGTTGCATAGCTCTCAGTAACATCCTCTTTTGAATTGCAGATGGCCAATGACAGCACAGAGACCAGTGAAGCAGGGGAAGAGGAGGAGGACCACGAGGGAGACAGCGAGAACAAGGAGCGGATGCCCTTTATCCAGTAACCCAGGACCCAGGTGGGAGAATGTGAAGGATGGTTTGGAAGACGAGGACCCGGCTGAGAAAACTCTTCTGTGCCCCAGTGAACAAATGCTGTAGTCCAGTGCGTGTCGTGTTTGTCTGCAGTCAGCTGAGCTACAAAGCTGTTGATCACTGTTTTTTGAAATTAAGTGCCAATCCCATGCCATGCAGTATTATGCCCCTCTTCTATCTCTGTATTACACACTCCCCTCTCCCCTGTATCAAAACCATCCACCTGTGGGTTCTTCTTGACAGTTCTAGAACAGCCTTGCAAATTAATACAAGCCCCAGGCCCAATGCCTAAGAGACCAGACATGGGCAAAGACAAGTTTGGATGGAAAGGTGTTATCATAGAGCCCTGGGTTCAGCTCCTAGAATTCTTCAGGCCAATGACACTTTTTTGCTGCTGATGACCCATGCCTCTGATGAGAACACTTGCTAATTTGGCCAGCAGAAAGAGAGTAGGCTGGATGTTTTCACAAGCTCACAAATTTAGAAACTCTCTTAGTAGTACTTTTTCCTGTCTCCATTTAAGAGACGACTATGATCAAAAGTTTGAGCCATTTTCTTCTACCCCTTCAGTGTTTGACCCTTTCACTGGCTCTTATCCATAAACAGAGGGAGGCAGGTATGGATTTTTCACAGAAGACAATGGGTCAGTGTCATGAGTTTGAGGACCTGCTGTGAAGATTTATCCTCCAAAACACATCTCATGAGCAGGATTCTTCCTGCTCCATATCTTTAATTTTAAGAAAACACCACATACGAGATGCATTCAGAAGTCATTCTTGAGCATTGCTGGTGTTTGCACACTTGCCACCTGCATTACCAATTCTGTAAACTTGAATTTCTGGGGGAAAGTGACCACATTGACCATGCATGAATTTCCCAAAGAGTTCCCTTGCGGACCATAGGTGGAAAAGTCAAGGAGCATCTCCTATCCCGGCCAAAGCAGGTCCCAACATGTAACAAACTCTAGTGATATAAAAGGTTTATATTCAGCATCTGACGCCAGATGTACAGTTCCTCCCCTCCCATATATAAACCCCTGGTGTAGAATCTGCTTCACCCCTGCTCTTGGGAAACCAAGGAACAAGCCACCTGCTCACACACCTTGTTCAATTTTTCAGCTCCTAAGAACCCCACCCCCATGTCATTTGACTGCACTTGAGAGGTGAATATAGTTACCCTCGAGAAAGAGAAGGATCTCAATGTCTCCCCCTAAGGGTGCCCCTCACTCCCTCTTTCCAGTCCTTTTGGCTAAAATGGTTAACTGTCACTCACAGACCAATCTGGAAATCCCAGGAGCTCACGGGATTAGTACCCCAAGTTTGTGTTCTGAAAAACAACAGAGGGCTTTTTACGTTGCCCAGTTTCTCCACCAACAAGCCTTAGGGTGGACCCAACCCTTTCCCCAAGTGGTAGGAACGAATGCATCTTATCAATTACCTGATTTCCAAAGTCCTTTTGTAGCAAATGTCACCTCATTCGTGTTCTTTTTTCCTATCCTAAGCTTAAGATGATGAGTTATGTATGCCAAATATTTATCTGAAGAGTTTCTCCCCATTGTGAATGTGTATGTAAAATATGAAGACAAGGAAGGGTGCCGTCATCTGAGGAACCAAGGGATGAGAGTATCCCAAAAGAGGACACCAACATCATTCTTTTCTTCCTACTCCAGGACCCACCACTATTCCAGTTCTGGGCCATTTAGAGAGATAATGGGGCGTTTATTCCCCTATTACCTTTGCTAAGTGCTATATTATTGGCTGTTTCTCCCGTAACCATGCTGAAAAGGGGGTCTTAGGGAGAACTGTCATCCGAGTGGCATTCCTAGTAAGTTGGGCAGAAATGACATTTTCCACAGCTGAAGGAGTGAAGAACCACTGGCCATATTAGAGCTCTCCTTCCCCAGGGGCGTGGGAACTCAGCTACGTTCAGAATTCACGTGGCCTTTGTTATGACCAGAGGAGAGGCATAAAAAAGGTACTCCCCACCCCACCCCCAAATCTGGGTATGGTTTTGTTTTAACTAGCAAAGTTACTCCAGTAATCACAAATTATGCCAGATGGTTAAAGAAAACCCTTTCAGAGTACAGAATGAGAAAACTCGAGTTTGACCAGTAAGACTAATTTCTGCCGTGAAGAACCGGGGGACGCACGTTCATTGTTTAATGTACTCTCATTTTAAGCACCTTCTTTCCTGTCTCTTGATTGTTTTTTCTGAGGGAAGTGTAAAGAATGTCTCAGTCTGCCTTAAAGGAACTGTGAAGGCTTCTCTGTAATTTAAGCTTGATTGAAGTGAACTGAAACATTGTCTAACGTCTTCGTGGCTTTAGAGCTTTTGTTATATTGTGCCTACAAAGCAAATTATGTTTACATAAAAATATAAATAAAGTATTCAGCATAGCAAAACCTCGCCTGACATCTGCTATTCCACATAAATCATTGCTGGATAAGCAATTGCACTAATTTTTTTTTTTTTTTTTTTTTTGGAGACAGAGTCTCGCTCTATGGCCCAGGCTGGAGTGCAGTGGCGTGATCTTGGCTCACTGCAAGCTCTGCCTCCCAGGTTCACACTATTCTCCTACCTCAGCCTCCCGAGTAGCCGGGACTACAGGCACCCGCCACCATGCCTGGCTAATTTTTTGCATTTTTAGTAGAGAAGGGGTTTCACCGTGTTAGCCAGGATGGTCTCAAACTCCTGACCTCGTGATCCACCCATTTCGTCCTCCCAAAGTGCAGGGATTACAAGCGTGAGCCACCGCGCCCGGCTGCAGTTGCACTATTAAATATGCAATGTATGTGGAACTGAAACAGGAAAAGTTAAAAACCTAATGGGAGCATGTCCACGTGAGAAACTAAAGACCACACGGAGAAAATAGGGGTTAGGAAGAGAAAAGCCTTTAAAACCATGTTCAGGTTCCCTCAAGCTAGGAAGTAAAACCATGAGGTAAAAAATATATATATATATTGAAAACATCATATGGGCCAGGCACAGTGGCTCACACCTGTAGTCCCAGCACTTCGGGAAGCTGACGCCAGTGGATCACCTGAGGTCAGGAGTTTGAGAAAGCCTGGCCAACATGGTGAAACCTCATCTCTGCTAAAGATACACAAAGTAGCTGAGTATGGTGGTATTTGCCTGTAATCCCAGCTACTCAGAAGCCTGAGGCAAGAGAATCACTTGAACCCGAAAGACAGAGGTTGCCATGAGTTGAGATCACATCACCGCACTCCAGCCTGGGTGACAGAACAAGACTCTGTCTCAGAAACAAAACAAAACCAAAAAAACTATCATATGATCATGATGACAGTGATGATACAGGTAACGATAACAGAATAACAATAGGCCGGGCGCGGTGGCTCACGCCTATAGTACCAGCACTTTGGGAGGCGCCAAGGTGGGCGGATCACGAGGTCAAGAGATTGAGACCATCCTGGCTAACATGGTGAAAACCCGTTTCTATTAAAAATACCAAAAATTATCCGGGCATGGTGGCGGGTGCCTGTAGTCCTGGCTACTAGGGAGACTGAGGCAGGAGAATGGCGTGAACCCAGGAGGCGGAGCTTGCAGTGAGCAGAGATCATGCCACTGTACTCCAGCCTGGGCGACAGAGTGAGACTCCATCTCAAAAAAAAAAACAGGATAGCATAACAATAATGCCCAACGTTTATAAGGCGACCTACTATATGTGGCTAAAAACTGTCCACATATTAATTCACATGCCTTTCCCACAGCCCTAAGAGGTAAGGTCTATCATTATGTCCACGTACAGGTGACAAGATTGAAACACAGGGAGCCTCTGCCCTTTCCCAAGATAACATGCTACTAAGTGAAAGCTGGAACTCACCAATTTCCAGCCACAGTTTTGCCACCAGAATTCATGCTCTTAACCACCTGATCATGCTACCTTGAACCTTAAATAAGGGGAAAATATAATGCGTTTCAAATGAGCGATCCCTTGTTCACTTGAAACCCATTAGGGGTTCCGTTTTCTCTGATTTCAAGGATATGTTTGTAAATTTGTCTTGCTTGGTAGCAAATAATATGCATGTCCAGAAGCATATTTACCTTTCTAACCTTCCACACAAGTGTTTGGTGTCATACTGATTTTGAAACTCACATGTCTCATCAACAGTTTTCATTTTCATGATCTAAAATCCTCAGGGTTACCAAAGAGATACAAAAAAGTAAATATCCACCAGTAGGGTTTCACAAAAGAGGAATTTATGGCTGGGCAGGGTATATAGTGTTTTACCATCTTTCTCAGCAGGAAGTCAACAAAACAGGCCTATGTCAATAAAACACAAGATATATAAACCAGAATGGACAAAGCAGAAAGTTAGTCACGCCGTCAGTGAAATTCTTAGGAAGTTCCACACTACTAACTTTCTTGTTTTTTTTTTTTGTTTGTTTGTTTGTTTTTTGAGACTGGGTCTTGCTCCATTGCCCAAGCTTGAGTGCAGCGGCACAATCACAGCTCACTGCAGACTCGACCTTCTGGGTTCAAGCAATCCTCCCACCTCAGCCTCACAAGTAGCTCAGACCATAGGCACGTGCCACCATGCCCAGCTAGCTTTTTAATTTTTTTTGTAAAGCCAGGGCTCTCCCTATGTTTCCCAGGCTGGTCTCATACTCCTGAGCTCAAGTAATCCTCCTGCCTTGGTCTCCCAAAGTACTGGGATTACAGGCGTGAGCCACTGCATTCAACGTGTGTGTGTATGTATTTTTTCAGACTGAATCTCACTGTGTCGCCCAGGCTGGAGTGCAGTGGCATGATCCTCGGCTTACTGCAACCTCCAGCTCCTAGGTTCAAGTGATTCTCCTGCCTCAGCCTCCTGAGTAGCTGGGATTACAAGCACGTGCCACCATGCCTGGCTAATTTTTATATTTTTAGTAGAGACGAGGTTTCACCATGTTGGCCATGCTGGTCTCTAACTCCTGACCTCAGGTGATCCAGCTGCCTCGGCCTCCCAAAGTGTTGTATATTCTTATTTAATGCTCACGTTCTCTGTATGAATCCCATGGCTGCACCTAGCCAGTGTTTGTGCACTGTCACATTTAAAAATAGCTCAGCCACCAAATCTAGAATCTAAACTAAATCCACATCTTCACTTTTAACTGGAAATGGGAAAGAGGTCTACTACAAATTGGAAATAATTTGTTTTTTGTTTTGTTTGAGATAAGGTCTTGCTCTGTCACCCAGGTGGAGTATAGTGGCATGATCTCCACTCACCACAACCTCCACCTCCCAAGGCTCGAGCAATCCTCCCACTTCAGCTTCCCCAGTAGCTAGGATTACAGGTGTGTGCTAACTTTAATATTTTGTAGAAACAGGGTCTCACCATACTGCCCAGGCTGCTCTGGAACTCCTGGGTTCAAGTGATCCTCCCACCTTAGCCTCCCAAAGTGCTGGGATTACAGACGTGAGCCACCCTGCCCAGCCCAGATTAATTTTTAAAGGTTTGAAGGAGGTTAGGGTAGTAACATTTTAAAAGCCATTTGGGGCATAGGAAACATTTGTGTATGAGCAAGGTAGAGAGAAATTTGCGGAGCAGAGAATAGAACAGCGTAGCTGAAATACAAGATGGTGCGGAGGGAGTGGAGCAGGAGATAGGCACTATGGGAAGTCAGCACCAGGTCTGGGGGCTGTTGAATACGACTGGCCCTGGTATGTATTTTATGCTTAAGCACATCTCAACTTTGACTAGACACACTTTAAACATTCAGTAGCACCTGTGACCAATGGCTACCATTTTGGACAGGCAGGTGTAGAGGAAGGGCGGGAATGGACTGCAAGATATAAACGTAACTTTAAAGATGCAATGGGAGACGGGATAATGAAGATGCACAGTAGGGAGGGAATGGCAAGGAAAGCAGACACAGAGGAGGATGCAATGCTAGAGTGAAACCATGAAAGATGAGCACATGTCAGCCACGAGTATAAGATACTTAAAGGACACAGGACAGTGCCTGGCATGCAGCAAGCACTCAGTAAACATTACTTCTCTTTCCCTAACTCCATTTGTCAATGCTGGGAAGAATGGGACGCTTGGGAAAAACTCAGTAGCTTCTTTTTTCTACTTTTTTTTTTTTAAACAACAGAGACTATATACATCTCAATATTTTGCTTCCAGATTTGTTTGTGGGAAAGAATAAATGTTTTGGTATTCTCTGCCATGAGCAGAGCTTCTATTGCCAGCCAAGCAAAGACGCTGGGAAATATGTTATTCAAATTGGCATCCAAACACCCAAACAAAGAAGAAACTCAGACAGGGGCAACTGAAACATCAACGCAGCACGGGGGTGCACACTCACGAACAACTGTGCAAGAGCAGAAGCCTTGGAATCTTCCAAACCAGGGATCAAACTTGGGGAATTTGCTTGGTGTCTGAGCTTTCTCCTACTACAATGGAGCAGATCATATTGTACATATTCTAGAAGACCAAATGTCACAGTGTAGATGTAACCCAGCTGAAATCATGATCCACAATTCCAGTCCAAGAGCCAGACAACAAATGCCTCCAAAACCAGATTTCTCCACTCATTCATACACTGATCAAATGTCTAGTATGTTACCAACATATTATTTTTAGTGTCTTAGCTGCAAAAATAAGTGCCTAGCCCCTGCCATTCGGGAACTCATGATGTGGTAATAAATAAGTCATTTATTGTGAAAATGGCAATTTGTTTGTAAAGCCTGCCTTGGTACCGGGCATTTATGTGGTCCGAGTGGCAAAGAGGCTATAATTGATGAGAAATGAGTATCAGGAGCAGACAAAGAGAGCCATCTAGGACAAGTAACTATCATTAGGTACATCAGTGATGAAGTCCAGGGTAGGTTCATGGAATGGTTCACTTAACTACGGCATCCATCAAGAGAAAAGCTAGAAAAGCAATAGGACTGGATTATGGAAATCCATGGATTTCACTTCAAGGGTTCTGGATTTTGTACTAAAAGAATAATTCATTGAGGGATGAATCAAGGGATTGCTAGAGAGGGTCTCAAGTAAGAGAAGACCATGGGAAATCTTCCCAGAATGACCTTCACTATTTCACTTGGTTCAGCTGTGGGAGGTGGAACAGAGGCAGGTGCCATATTGGAGTAACAGTTCTTCGGCCAGTCTCCCAGCACCCATGCATGGTCTATTTAGTTATGAGATAAGGTGCCCCTGGAATTGGCATGCATGGGAACAAGAGAACTCCTCTCCATTTCAGGAGTTGTGAGACAAGGAGGGGCTGGTGGTTCTTTTTCTGGGGGATATGGGACCTCTTCTCCGTGGAAGTAGAGGCTCCCAGAAAGCAAATCACCATTCATGGGAGTCAAAACTAGTGCAAGTGACCCATGTGGCATACTCACAAACACTGACACTCAAAGATTGGAACCGTTTTCAAAAACGGGCCCCAGCTC